CGACGGGATCATCATTCGCTAATTGTAATTGGCGCAGTACTAATGCGTCATAACTAGACTATCACTAACAACGTGATCACCCGAATCCAGGATTTGTACAATTGAACCTTACGGCAAAAAGTTGAAGAACAAATTGCATAATTAATAAAACTTCTTAATCGATGGATAATCACAGACAAAACCAACAAGCATATTTTAATTTTTTATGCATTTGCAACATTAGATCAACGGTTTCTGATTTACTGTAAATGGAAATGCTTTGTACTTTTTTTTAACTAAAACGCCAAATAAATTTGCAATCACAACTAAGGACTTCGTGCATAAACTTAGGATACCTTGCTATACTTCAATTATTAATATCTTTTATTTTAAGGCATTGCAATATTACTTGAACTCACAGAAGCTACAAATCTTCATCATATCCAACTATGGGCGATTTACATATAGTATTTCCTGTTATTCTTAATATAGGAAAAAAAATTTCTATTTCGCGAAAGAATTTGAAACAAATGATAAAAAAAAAAATCAAATTGCATAACGCATGTATACAAAAGTTAATAAATATTGGATTATAACAGATCAAAGTGTGAAATTATTATCATTTGATAAAGAAACAACCTCAAAAGATCATTCATTTATACGAGATATTTATTCAAGAAATATGAATGAACAACTTGATTCTGATTTAATTATAACTAAAGATTGCAACACTTCAAGAACATATTTTAAAAAACATTTCAAGGGGATTATAGGCGTGATATTTTAGAAGAATATCTCTCACATGCTAAAAAAGGTTGTAATGTACTAGAGTTTTAAATGATGTGTATCATTTAGTGACAAATAATGCATATTTATATATTTCTGCTGGAAATATACGTTAAAGATAACTAAGCAGCTAACTATTTGAGTAATCTAGTCTAACTAAAACAGCAAGTTAAATTTCTCAGAAGCTTGTTTTCCCAAACAGCTTAGCTTGCTTCTAACTCAAGCAGTATTAGGATCCGTTAATAATATAATAAATCTCTTATTTGATGAGTTTTATTTCAGTTAACCTCGTTTATGATATTGCATCATAAAACTCATTACTGTAGTGTAATGAAAATTATGTAATTAAATATTTAAATATGTTCGTATTGAATAAACACGAATTTGATTTTCATTATCATTGTTTGATTATCATTATTACAATAAGATAAATAAACAAAAAAAAAAGTGTTTAACCAGACAAGTATTTAATCAAAAAATAAAATCAAATAAGCAAAAAAAAAAAAAAAAAAAAGGAAAGAAATAATGTTTGATTTGAATTCTTTAGTTAGTTGTTTTGCATTACTTTTATTAGGAGGTATAAGTTGGTTTACTTATAAAGTGTATATTTGGCCATATTATACATCTCCTTTGAGAAACATCCCTGGGCCACCTTCTGATAGTTTCTTATACGGAAATTTTAAAAGATTCTTCGTTGAAGAGGTGTGTATATGAACAAAAAATTTTTTAATAATAATCATTTTATTATTAAAGCTGACCATTATTTCTTGATCTAGGCTGGTGAGCCATATCTTAGATGGGCAAAAGAATATGGAAGCTTCGTGAAATACAATACAATACTTAATAAACCTATCCTTTCGATCACGGATGAGAAGATTTTAAAAGATATTTTGTTATCTAAAGTATATGAATTTCGTAGACCTGAAGAAAGGAATGCTAATAGCAAAAGGATTCTTGGTCATGGCCTTTTTCTTGCCGAAGGAGAAACTCACAAGAGACAAAGAAAAATGATGAATCCTGCCTTTATTCATCATAATATTAAGGTACTGTAGAGTATAATATCAATTTAGGAAGGAAAAAAAAAGTGACTAATTTATTTTCCTGGATTTTTTTTTTCGCCATTTAGGATATGGTTCCAACGTTTATTCGCGTAGGTATGACATTAAAAGGTTTGATAGAAAACAAAGTAAACAAAGGAGAATCAAGAATTAATCTTACTCCCTATTTGTTAAAAACTACTATGGATATCATTGGCGCAGCTGGTAATTGAAAAAATTTATTTCTTAGAAATTCACAGGGCAGGGCTTTATACGATTCTTTTTTAATTCTTTTTTTAACAAAAAACAATATAGGATTTAATCATGAATTTAATTCATTAACGTCTCCTAGCGAATTAGCAGAAGCTTATGATATTATCATGAATGACAAACCAACGACTTTATCCAATAGTATTAGCATTTTATCTTATTATATTCCATTCATTAGAAAGATTCCAATAAACGTAAATAATAAATTCAATTATGGATGTGACGTTATTGAACGTGAAGCTAAAAAGATTGTTGATGAAAGATATCAAGATGACAAATTGCAAGGAAAAGACTTGTTATCTTTATTAATTTCGATCAACAAAACTTTGCCTATTGAAGAAAAAATCACTGACGATGAGCTGAAATATCAGGTAGTTAGAATAATTTGAATTCATTTATTCATTTATTTATTTATATTTGTTTTATTTATCATCTTTTTTTTTTGTTCTTTATATTTTTAGATTATGACATTTTTACTAGCAGGGCATGAAACTACTAGTAATGGTTTAAGTTGGGCTTTATATTCACTTGCAAAAAATCCACACATACAAGATTTATTACGTGAAGAATTAGTTAAAGCCTTTCCTGATAAATCAAAATTTAATCCCACATTTGATGAAATTAATTCTTTGGAATACTTAAATTGCATAATTAAAGAAACATTACGATTATATCCTCCAGGTATAATTTTTTTTTTTTTAAAAAAAATATTGTTTTATTAATTAACATGTCGAAAAATTCTTATTTTAGTTACTGTAACTCTTCGATCTAACATTGAAGATCAAGTTTTTGGTGAACATTTTATTCCAAAAGTATGTTTTATTATTTATATTGTTAAATGTCCTTTTCAAAGTGCTAAATCATAAAACCCCTCTTTTTTTTTTTAATAGAATACTCCAATTATAATTCCATTTGTGGCGCTTCATAGGCTACCTTCCATTTGGGGACCAACTGCCGATGAATTTGTTCCAAAAAGATGGTTAGATCCTCCTTCGATTCAAGGAATTTCCAATTATAATTATTTACCTTTTAGCACTGGTTTAAGATCCTGTATAGGGAGCAAATTGGCGTTAAACGAAATTAAAATATTATTAAGTTTGCTAGTTAGAAATTTTGTTTTCCAAACGGTTGAAGGATTCCAAATTAAGAAAAAAGTTGGATTTCTTTCTAAGGTTGATCCACATCTTGAATTAATTGTTACTAACGTTGAAGCTTGATAAATATTTTTTCATAAATTGTATCTTTGTTTTTATGCGTTATTTTTTATCTAAATAAATTTACATATTTTATTTTATTTTATTTTATTTTTTGTCTATTTTATAATATATAAAAAGTCCTAACGCGAAATCATTAGTCTTTTCTCTAATATAACAACAGATCGCGAAACTTATGCATATAGCTCATCACTTTATCACAAATTCTGCATTAAATTAACGCTTTTTTATATGTGAACTTTGAAATTCGATTCGAACGATAATGAATTTATAGCTGTCGAACTCGAATAGGCAATATTTAGATAAAATTTAGCTTGTTTGATCACTATTCGAATGTGGGTAAAATTCCATGAAATTTGATACAGACTTCTATTCACCTTTTTTAAGTTGAATACATACAAACTTTTAGTGTGATAATGAAAAGAGTAAATTGAAAAAACTTTCTATTCATAAATATACATTATTGTTGTCGTCATCCAAAATAGCATGTTTTCACGTGACATATAGGTAAATAAATTATTTACCGTTTTTTATTAAATCACCAATGGATTAAGATTAAATAATGTAGCTATCAAATATAAAATAATATTTAAATACCACTATTAAAAACCATTAAATAAATAAATAAATAAAATTACTTGTCATCTATTATGTAAATATTTCAGCAGGGGTAACAGCATTTGAGATTATACTCCCTAATAAGTTTTCTTGATTTAAAAATTTTGTGGGAAATACTACCAAATGTCCACGAACATTCTCTAATTTTTTTCGTACTTCCTCTTCGGTTGCTTCGGAATTTGCTACATGACATGGTTGCACTCTAGTAGGGTCAGGAACAAATTTTTTATATTCTTCCCAATCAACAACTGTATATAATGCTTAAATTAGTTAAACAATATTATTAAAAAAAAAATTTTTTGCATTTAAATAATTATTTACCGTTGTCATCAGGTACACATCTAAATACAGAACGATAAGTTTCAGTATTGTTATGTGCTGTAGTTCGCCAATAATCATAAAAGTCATCAGAAAGTGGATCCATAACTACTAGATCTGATTTTGTGGGATGTTTAGGATTCCTGGGAGGATAATATGATTCTGGGTTATCTACTATTGATGTAATCGACTCATATTTCCCGTGCGCTTCATGCATTTCATATAAATTTTCTGGTCTCAATGGTGGTAAGCAACTTTTGGTGATTGTTGTGTGATCCTGTTTTTCAAGTAACCCAAGATGTTCTTGAAATAAATTACTACGTAATGTATATGCAAATTTGGATGCTTGATACTATATAAAAGAAAATTTTTTTCGTTAATATTTGAATGATTTCAAAAAAGAAATTTTTTTTTAATTTACCGGTTTTCCATTCATACGCGTCTCCACTTTCTTATTATCCTCGACAACAATTGCAATTTCTGAATCACGCATTCCAAGTTGCGACCTATCATTTATGTTAGCTATAACGAAAAAGACAATTTAATATTTGTAAATGGAATTGTCAAGACAAAAAAAAAATTATTTAATGATAGAATTTGATCTTACCTGAACCACAAATAACGTATCGATCATCAACAATCATTAATTTACTATGTATGTAAATTTCTTCAGTTATATAAGTTTTTTTAGGATCCATTTGAGAATTTTGATAAGGGATAGCTGGCTCTCCTCCAATTCTATCATCTGTAAAAGGTTCTGCATTCTCATCCGAAAATGAATTTTCTAAAGGATGTCGAATTGTCGATTCTTTGCTTCCACCACTAGTTGCATTAGTTACATTTTCAAATGATTCTTCTGGTGGTTTCAATTCTGAAGGAGTTTTAGATGATCTCACTTCTTTACGCGAATTTTGTGATAAATTGCTTGATTTTCTGTCCAATGTTACACCAGAATTATTATCTTTGTCTGGCAACTTTCCTTTTCCTTTATTTGATATTATTGATCTCTTCGATCTTATTGATTTATTTTCACTCACATTATCAGTAGAATGTATTTTTTCATGTCCGCGCAAAGCATAAAAAGTGATATACTTGTCCGGATTAATTCCAGCATCACTTATTTTTTCTAAAATTGATCTTCCACCACGGCATATTGACACATATTGCCAGTGCATAACCATCCTAGAATGACATTTTTATGAGTTAATTTTATCTATGTTACATAATTTTAATAAGTATCTAAAAAAAATCACATACCGAATTGTCCCAGCATCGCTTGAATTCAAATCAGATTCGAATGATGGCAATAAAGGCATAACTACAATGATTCGGAACTTTTCATTATTCTCGTGTGCTTTTTTAATACGTTCAACGATACACTAGAAAAAAAAAGAGAAGTAACGATTTAGTTTACATAAACCTGTTTGTAGCCTGAATATAAAATATAAAATTACTTCTCCTATCCTATTTTTGACAACGTATTTTGGATCATTCTCTGTAGTTGTAACTTAGGGTTTTTTTTAAAAAAAACAAAAACAAAAACAAAAATATATATATATTAATAATAATAATAATAATAATAATTTCAAAATTATTAGAAAAATTAAAGATTTTCAATGAAGATATCAAACTCACTGAAAAATTGATTTTCAATATAAATAAAATGTTTAGAAGTTCTAATTAAATAACAATATGCGTTATATATGGAACTCTATAAAATTAAAATCAAATAAATAAATCAATATTTATTATTATTAAAAAACATTAAACGGAAAATATTTTATTACATCAAGTTTAATTCCACTGCTCCAATATGCACTGCTCCTCAATAATTGTACGTCACATGTTCCTAAATTAACAAATAGTTAGAATCAAATAATCTTTTGTAACCATAATTTGAACATACCTTTGAATTTGCTCTCATCACGTGTACTGACATATTCTCCTTTTGGAGTTAAAAAAGAAAATTTTTCTTTGTCAAAAGCTTTTTCCTCTTTAATAAAGTTCCACCTTTGAACAAAATGCCTTGCTACATCCCTTGCTGGTTGACCAACCTAGAAAATCAATTTATAAAAATGAATTTTACTAAATTCTCTTGAATCTTGATTAATTAATAAAAAATATACTGACCACTCCTGGTAAAAAAAAAAAAAAAAAAAAAATTGAATCAATAATTATCAATTAAAAATATTACACTTATTACACTTAAAACATATTGATTATATAGATACCAATTGAAACGTCGTGCCATGGCATACGAGGAGTTTGTGATTTATCAATCAAAGGATTTTCGAAATCAACAACTATTATACGCGTTAATAAGAAATAAAATCAATAAAATTAAACTCGACGGATGTCTATTTGTATTAATTATTACCATTCTGAAAATCTTTAATTCTCGGATTAGAATAGTCCTGACCCGGCCATATTGAAATATGTTTGCTAGCGTCTGGATTCCAATCAACCAACTGATGAGCATGAGTATCATAACGACCAAAACATAAATCTAACCCTCCGATAAATGCTATTCGACAATCAACAACCACCATTTTCTAAAATTTACGAAAGATTTGTTTAGATAAGTTTAATTTCGGAATTTGGCACAAAGTAGAAAATAAACGTAAATAAAACATACTTCATGATGCTAATATTTTAAAAATATATATATATATATAAATAAATAAATAAGGAAAAACAATATTATTTGTTTAATTACTTAATGATAAAATTTTAAAAAATTTTTTTAAGTAAATACTCACAGCCCAAAACACTGTGCCTTCAGGTCCATGATCTGGATGTCTTTGAACTGTAACAAAAATAATTAATCAGAATTCTTACATTATCCATTCTTCAAAAATACATATATATATATATCTAATAAATACCTCTGATATTTGGATGAAGTTCCTGGAGAGTTTTCTTTGTGTAGAATGAATCCAGAGGTAAAGCATATTTAACTTCCTTGTAAACAACAATAAAAATCATTACACCTTCTTCGGCCTTCTTTTTGAGCAATCTATCTAATCGAAAGTTTTCATTTTGAGATGGAGGACGACGAAGATACTAAACGATTTAAAACGTTTTATTTAGCTTAATAACGCCACCAAACTTATTTTTTAATAAGAAAAAAGAATGGTATTAATACACACCAATTCTGGTGATAGCCACCAATCCTCAATATAAATTTCTGATTTAGCTGCTAGAATGGCTTCGGATATAGCAAAGAAATAATCTTTACCGTCAACATACCATTTAACCTTTGCATTCTCCCTAATAGGTGCATAAGAATCAAATCGATGCTGCTTAACCCAAGGAGATGATTGTTTGACTCTTTCAATACTTTCCAAGAATTCACTCAACATCCGTGTATCCGCTTTAAGTTCAATCCTTCGTGCACCATTTTCAATATTAACACGACCATGAAATGTTAAAACACGATCAATTCCTTGAATAGGTACTTTGTCACATTGAAAGTTTCTGTCAAGAAGAAAAACATCTGATGGAGTTGTTGAACTTATATGAGAACAAAATGCTATATATGAGTCACGAATGATCACCCATTCACTTATCCATTTTACATTAGAATTTTTGAAAGAACAAATAGGCGTATGAAACCTTTCAACTTTATTTTCAAAATAACCTTCCTTACCCTTCCAACCCATGTCTCTTGTTATAGAAATTGCACTAAGTTCCAGGAATTCATTAAGCTCATAGGAGACGTGCATATTTAAAGTTCTAATTATTTGAATTAAATAAATCTCCAACTGTTCTCTCCTTTCAAGAGCTGCGGTTTGTTGAAGTTCATGACGAATATGTGTACTATGAAATAATGAACGAAACCATTTATAAAGACCATTTGGTATCGCTGGTACGAAGGGGAGATCCGCTCTCTTTTTCAAGTTGATATAGAGTGAGATAAAATCAATTCCTGATCTTTTTATAACCCATTTTACATCACCATATTCTAATTCTATTCTAAATATAGTTTGCATATTATAAACATTCGCATCGTGATACGAGTCAGTAATTGCAAGCTAAAATTAAAAAAAATTCTGATTTATTAATTGACTCGTTATTGTAATAAGACGAAAGTAACAAAAATCAATACCTTCAAAGCATCAAATAAAATAGGTGGCTAAAAATAAAAGCGATTAAAAGGTGATCATGAATAATCATTTTTAGAAAATTTATAAAAATTTTTTTAATTACCGCTTTACGGCTTTTATAATCTCTTCTTGCCCATAAATAAGGCACAGAAATTGGACTTGGAAATAAAAGAACTCCTAAATTACCGGTATCTTGTAAATGTTTTCTATCCGAATTATTGAACACTTGATTAGCTTTTGATAAAGCTAGTGCCTTCTTAACATGATTGCGAAATTTGTTTCTAGTTGAAGTTTCTTAAAAATAAAATAAAATAAACAAATGTTAGTGGTGCTACGTAAAAGAATAAAGCAAAAAATATCATTTTAGTACTGAATTTACCTCCGCCTTCGGGTGATTCTACTTGATTGGACGATTCAGCTTCATCTGTATCTGAAGCAACTTGTTGATGTCTTATGAAATCAGGTTGCTCCGGAAGTACTTCTTCAATATATGGAGCAGATAATTGATCTTCCGAAGGTCCCGTTGCAGTTTCTAATGGTTTCGACTTTTGACGTCTTGCTAGTTTCGGGCGTTTTTTCAAATCTGAATGAAGTTGAGGGTCAGGTTGACCTGTAGAAATACTTTTCACATGAAAGAGATTTGATAATAAGGAAGATCGCCAATTAAATGATTCTTCTGCTGGTTCTGTTTCTTCATTTTCTGATTCATAAGGTGAGGAACGTTCGTCTTTGTCATTGTTTGGATTTAGTAAGGCAAGCGTTCTATTGGAAAATTCAACTAATAAATTGCTATCAGCTTCTTCAGCTTCTTCAGGAGGTTCGATTTTATCACCATTTGATGTTAAAGGATCAGACATTAAACTTTTTATGATTGAGAAATGTGTGTTGAATAAATTTAGATATTATTGACCACACATTTTATCTCTCTTTATAGTAATTTGGTAAATACAGTTCAGACGTTGTGATCAATAGAAATTTCGACTTAACCCGAAAATTATTTAATTTTTTGTATGACAAAAGAGAATTAGGTAATGATGACCTCACAAATATCTATCTATGGAAATACGCTATAATTGTTATTGGCTGAGAAAAGCCTAGTAGAAAATTTAAAGACCCGATCGGTAGCTGGTAGTGTTAATACAAAATTTATTAATTCAGTAATTGCATTGTGACGATCTTAACTTTATGTTAACAAAATAAATCTTACATACATATTATTACAATGGAGAGAATAATTATGGAGAGAATTCATTTAAATAATCATGATAATTACAATGTTAGCCTTTATTTATAAACATTTATTTAATAATATTTATAAATAACAATTATTAAATGTAATTTTTAAGACAGTGAAGAAGCAGTTGGTGTGAATTAACTATAAAAATATGGATATTAATTGTTTATAAATCTCAGCTTGTACTACAGAATGATCCAACACCTTTGCGCAATAAACAATTGTATTCATGAAAAAACCATCCAAAATAACAATCCTTATTATTGTATACGTCTTATGTGAACACCGGTGCTTACGTCAGACATATCATATAGATGCTATTATATCATGTGGCCTTCGGCCACATGATAGAGTAGGATCCTAGTATGTAATCAAAAACTTGATTGCTCTAATCTAAAAAAATGTCAACTTCATTTTATTGCTTGTATTTCTCTATTGCTAGGTTTAAAAATTGATTAGATAAAACCTTTTAGTTTTATTTATGACAAAAATGCTTTAAAAGATTTTATTAATGGTAATTTGTAAGTTGTAATTTTAAGGATTTTTGCTTGAGTCTTGACATAAAAAAAAATGCAACTATGTTAGGATAAAACGTGCAAAAAGGATGAAATGAACGTAAAGAATAAAATGTTAAGACATAAAAAAAAAGTGTAGAAAGTTTTAATAATCGAATAAGTTTTGTTAGAAATGATGCCATTAAAATTGACCGTCCTCCCATCATGTGGAATGTCATCATGAATTGATCCGCCCTTCCCCCTTTAAAATGACATCATTTCTGGCCCTCCTCCCTCTCCTTAGGGGCTTAGGGATTAGAAGTATCAGATAAATGATTGGCCTAATGGCCAATCGAAACACCCCGATATAACTATTTATTGTGCATCTATTAGGATCTCAACGGCTGATATTGTCGACGCATGATCATCGGTCCTAGACCGCTAAATATCGGCCTATCGGCTGATTTTTTACCGCCCCTGCCCAATAACTATATATCATCCCCCTGCCATTTTCATAATATTCGTATATAATTAATTGTTGTATTACAAAAATAATATTTCGTTATAAAATAATTAAACAATTAAAAGTTTAAAAGTAAAGCTAATTAATTTAGCAGTATTAAATGCATAAATAGAAGAATTGTAAAACCATAACGCTGCACAAATTGATCAATCGCATAGTGTCGATCAGGGGAGGGGGATTCGTTAATCCGCCAATCAAATGCATTGCTCATAGAAACTATGAAGTCATTGGTCGGGATTGGCTCCGCTCCGGCTCAGTAGATTTTACTACCGTAAATGCACGAAAATAAACACCCGAGGAAATTATTAATGCCGAGTACTTGTAGGTAATAGATCGGCGAAATAAAATTAAATCATATATTGTAGTTGTCGGGTTGTCGGTATAACAATAGTTACGACAACTCCGAACAGCAAGTTCTTGACATACTTTGCCCCAATCATCGAATATTATGAATATTATATATAAATACTTGAATGTATCTAAGATTTTATTATCAACCGAATAAAGAAAATAAAAAAAGATAAAAATGCTTGATTTGATTTCTCTAATCAGTTACTTTGGTTTAGTATCTATATGTTGGATTACTTATAGATTATATATTTGGCCTCACTATTTGTCTCCTTTGAGAAATATTCCTGGCCCGCCATCTGAAAATATCCTTTTTGGAAATTTTCAAAGATTTTTCAACGAAGGGGTCAGTTAATACGTTAATTTTAACCTAATCTATTGCTATCTTGACACACATACACATTTATTTTTTTATTTTACCTTTTATTTTTTTAAAGGGTGGTGAAACACATCTTAGATGGATAAAAAAATATGGGAATTTAGTCAAATATTACGGATTATTTAATACACCAACAATTATTGTAACAGATGCAAAATTAATACAAGATATTCTTTTAAGTAATGGGTATGATTTCGTTAAACCTAAACTTGTAAGGGGAGATTTTGAATCTATTATCGGTGTTGGTCTCGCTTTCGTAGAAGGAAATGCTCACAAGAGGCAGAGAAAAATGATGAACCCTGCTTTTACTCATCTTAAAATTAAAGTACGTATGTTAGTTAAATGGTGATATAAGTAATTAAAAGAAAATTACTAAGGTTTTTTTTTTATAGAATATGGTTCCAACCTTCTCTAACGTAGCTTTGAAATTAATAAGTTTGTTAGAAGATAAATTAGATAAAGGAGAATCGAAAATTAACCTTTCTCCCTATATTTCTAAGGCTACTTTAGATGTCATTGGCTTAGTTGGTAAGAAATAAAGTGTTATAAATACTTACATATGAATTTTATAAAATTCCTAACTTCTCAAAAAAAATAATTTTAGGATTTAATTACGAATTTAATTCACTAACATCTCAAAGTGAATTAGCGGAAGCTTATGAATCTTTTTCAACAACTGATTTACCTTTTTCACAAATTATGATTGGCATTATTGCAGCTTATCTACCAATAATTAGAAAAATTCCAATAAATATAAACAAAAGATTTAATAATGCATGTAAAGTTATTGAACGTGAATCGTCAAAGTTGATGGAAGAAAAATTGCAAGATGACAAAAACAACAAATTGAACGGACATGATTTATTATCTATATTAATAAATATCAACAAAACTTTACCTATCGAAGAAAAATTGACCAATCTCGAGCTAAAATATCAGGTAATTATAAAATATTTTTTCTTTTTTTCTTTTTTTCTTTTTTTTTTTAAAAAAAAAATCCTGTTGTATACATACGTACGTATTAAGAATCAAATTATTTTTTTCGTTGGATATTTCAGATCATGACATTTTTATTTGCTGGACATGAAACTACAAGTAATGCAACAAGTTGGGCTTTATACTTACTTGCACAACATCCAAACGTACAAGATTTATTACGTGACGAATTAGTTAAAGCTTTTCCTGATAAATCAAAATTTAATCCCACTTTCGAGGAAATCAATTCTTTGGAATATTTGAATTGCGTAATTAAAGAAACATTAAGATTATATGCTCCAGGTATAAATTTAATATTATTTAATAAATTTTGGAAATAATTTATTAACAGCAATTTTTCATCGTAGTTACTGCTATGCGACGAACTAATATCAATGATAAAATGCTTGGTGATATCTTCATTCCAAAGGTATGTTATTATTATTAATTAATTTAGATAATTGTTTAAAAGAGATTTAATATAATTTAATAATAAATACTTCTTTGTTTAATAGAATACTGTAATTGATATTCCAATTGCAACGCTTCAACGATTACCTTCAATATGGGGGCCAACGGTTGAAGATTTTGATCCAACAAGGTGGTTAAATCCTTCATTAACTGAAAATGTGACAAATTATAATTATATGCCTTTCGGAGCTGGTATTAGATCCTGTATAGGTAACAAATTGGCCTTAAGTGAATTTAAAATATTATTAAGTATGTTTGTTAGAAATTTTACTTTTCAAACAATTGAAGGATTTCATATTAACAAAAAGGCTGGATTTCTTCTTAAACCAAATCCATATGTCGAATTGAATGTTTCTAGAGTTGAGATTTGATGTAGTATTTTACCATGTATCACGTTCAAAGAAATTGTTTTAATTATTATTTTATTAGTTTATAAATTATTGATATAAATAAATGCGTCGCGTGATTTATTTAATTTGTTGTTTTGTATAAAAAACTTTATGATTATAATAGTTAACTTTAAATAAAAGAACTTATTAAGATCGTATATATCAAGAATTCGCTATATCGTGTTCAAACTGAAATTAGTTGAAAGCTATAATATTTTAATCCAGATGAATAAATTAATAATACTTAATTTTGCTCTATAGATATATTGATTAAATATTTTAAGTGAATATGATTTAGGACAATTTTTATCCAGATTAATGTTCGGATTAAAAATTTTAATAAGGATTCAAATTCGGATTTTGAATAACGTATCCGACGTGGATTTTTCAGGTCGGGTCGGGACAGATAATAACCGCTATCCGTTACGTTAGTGTTTGGAATAAGATAATATGGGACCTTTGCAATAGTATCTACCAAACAATAGGACAATGATTGCCATTATTTTGATATTTGTGATTAGTAATAGGTAGTCCCCTTTCTATTGCAAAGATCTCATATGATTTCTATTTTTTTTTTTTAGTATGAAATCTAAATTAATAACATAAATAAATATTCATATTAATCTTTTATATTAATAAAATTATACTAGTAATTTAATTTAAACTAAATTTTTATATATCATTGGTATAATTTCAATTTATAACCATATATTTTTATAATTTAAGTTACTAATTATTGAAAATATAATATAAAAAAATATATAAATGATTTTAATTACGGTTTTAGTTAAAGTTTAAACATTAATTTTTAAATTTAAATTAAACAAAATTGTAATATACTATAATAATCTATATTACATATTAAATAAAAACAAAATATATTAAATATTAAATCTAAATATACCTTAATTTAAAAAATTATTAAATAAATAAAAATAAATTCATTTATTATTATAAATTTTTTTAATGTATTATTAATTACAATATAAAATAACATAAATGATTTAAATAATAAAATTAATATAAAATTATAAGAAAATTTTAAGTAATTATATATTTTTTTATTTTTTATTATAATTCTATATATTAATTGTTTTATATATTTATTTATAAAAGTTAATTTTTTATTATCGTAAAATCTTGATATTAAGCATCTTTTGAAAATAAGCATTCCTGCTACTTTTACCATAGTGTTTGTAAAAACTAAAATAATTACCTTCAAAAATAAAGCATCCCTTTATAAATTAATAAAATTAATAGCTAATACAGGTTTTATAAAAAAATAAATTTATTTATAATAAATTTATAGCATGATTATTCTTTATTTATTTTATAATGACATTATAATTTTCTAATTCATCTATTCATTTGCGATAATTTTTTCAGATCAGGTGATAATTGAAATTAAGCATCTCCACCAGTTTTGTCGATCACATGACTGCAAAAGGGATGCTTAATTTCAAGATTTTATAGTAATGTTAAATATTTTTATAATATAAAATAATAATTAAATATAATATTTATTTTTTCCTATTTTTAAAAATTTTATATATAATTTAAAAATTAAATAAAAAAACCATATTGTTAATTATAATTATATGGAAACGTTCCAATAAAATTACATATGATTTACTATATCTCCTGATTTTATTTTACTAAAAATATTACTATATTATTAATTTAAAGAATTAATTTTTATAATATTATAATATTTATAATTAGAATTTTAAAAAAATATTCAATTATTTTACAAGTTAAATAAATTGAGTTGAATTAAATTTAACAAGTTTATCTCTTTTATTTAAGTTAATTTCAAATAAGTTTAACTCAATTCAAGATATAAAATAAATCAAATTTAAGCAAATTTAAGTAAAATCTAAATATTTTTTTAATAAACAATCAAAAGATCTTTTAATAAATAATATATATCATTTTTAAAAAAATTAAAAAACTTGTTTTAAAAAGTAATAAAATTTTATTTTAAAGGAATGATAAAAAGAATTATTCTAATTGAATCATAAAATATTATTATGAAAAATAATAATATAAAAAATCATTGTAATTATAAATAAAACTAAAATTAATTAATTTTACATAATTAATATTATTAAATCACATAATTTTACATATATAAAAAACTTTAAAATAATAAAATATAATAGCTTTTCAGTCAAAATTCTAAAAAGTTTTTTTTAAATTTTAACTAATATTATTAAAAAATCATATTTAATTTTTTTATAATTTTTTACCTTTCTACTGCAAAAATACTTACATAATCTTAATATATATTATATTATTTCTCATAAACAACTAATACAGTCAAAACTTGATATAATAAATTTTTAATATAGTTAATTTTTAATATTTAATCAATCAAATATATTAAATATATTTTGTTATAATAAACTAACCAATTAAATTTTCATTATAATCTTATAACAATATTTATATATAAAGTTTAAACTGAAGATCAAAGTTGAAATGAAAATCAAAATAGTAAAAATAATATCATATCATATGATTTTTCATATTTAAAAAAGTTTAAAACATAAATGTATGATCTTAGTCAATATTACGTTAATTCTCATGAATAACTGCTATTTATTTCTTATAACTAAATAAATCCAATAAGCTAAATATTATTAATTTTAAATTATTTATCCTTGAGATAATTACAATCAATCCAGATCCTTTATTTAAAATAAAATTTATTAAATTACAATTTTAGTTGATAATTCAATTGCAATTATCTTATAATTGGCAAATTTAAAATTAATTTAATTTAAATTATTAGATTTGACTAATCACAAGAAATTGAATAATAGTTATTTTATAAGAATTAAAGTAATATTATTTACTAAGATTATACATTTTATATTTTTTTTAGATTTTTTATATATGAAAATTTATATAATATCATATAATTTTAACTATTATGATTTAAACCTTTTAAAATTCTTAGAATTAAATTATTTTGACCATTTTAGATATCTAAATTATTTATTCCCTATAAGAAATCGAAATAAGGAAATGATACGTTTTTTATAAGGTTTGTATACGTAATTAATGATTTTATATCAAAATTCCGTATGTTTT